GGATCCGGCACCCGCACGGTAAATCCATGGATTGCTAAGAACTTCGTCTCTATCTCTACTCTAAGTAAAGAGTTTAAAAAACTATATAACTACACTCCGTACCAGGAAATCAAAATCACTACATAGTATAAAACAAAGTCGCTGTTGCTGTCTGTCCGTCCCTATTTATGCTTAAATCTTTATAACTACGCAACGGATTTTGAAGCGGTTTGTTTTTAATAGATAGAGTGATTCAAGAGGAAGGTTTATATTTATAACTAGCTGTTCCTGCGACTTCGTCTGCGTGGAATTTAACTTTATTCTTCTAAAATAACATGAGCCCAAGTCCAACACCTTATTACATCAGCTACCTGCCAAAAAGTCCCGTCAAAATCGGTCCAGCCATTTCAGAGATTCGCCGGAACAAACAGACAGACAGACAAAATTTGTAAAAATGCAATTTTGGTGTATGTACCGTATTTATATTCATATGAATGGAGTAAAAAACTGTTATGTCAATATTACAAACAGACACTCCAATTTTATTTATATGTATAGATACATATACAGCAGGGCGAAGCCGGGGTAGGTAGCTAGTAACTAATAATTCTACTTATAGATAAATAATATATAACATAAAGAAAACGTGCTTTTTAAATAGTTAAATTTCGGTTGCAAAACTTAACTTGAGCAGACTCGTCCTCACAATTTTTCCCGTTCACTAGTATGATAACCGAGCTGTCCATCATAGTGTTCAACTATATCTTAATACATATTTAATGTAGTTATACATATTTATATAAACATCTATTCAAAAGAGCAACACACAAGTTCCTTGTTCATTCTTCTTGTGATGAATTTGCGTTCCGAATGAGTGGTAGAATCAAAATATGACTATTCAAAAGTGCTTGTAATGAGTTTATTTGAATAATGATTATTTCTGTTTTTATTTGATTCTGATTGAATTGATTATTTAATAGATATAGAATTATATATATACTATTATATTTTCTCCGTACAAACAAAGATATCGGATATACAAATGAAATAGTAAGTAAATTAAGCATACGTCTCACAACGTTGGGTGTGACTGGTGTACCGCCCTACTATTGTTCAATTACTTAAGAACATACTATGGAAAAATTCCTGTAGAGAAAATGAAATGATACGTAATGAATTCTTTCAACTAATATGTTTTTATTAAGGCATTTTTTTATAGCATAGAAGACAAAAGAGCACTTGATGGTAAGTGATTACCGCCGCCCATGAGCACCCGTAACACCAGGGCAATTGCAAGTGCATTGCCGGCCTTTTAAGAGGGAAGTTCTTTTCGTGATGGTGTCATTATCGTATCGGTTCGGAAATACCATTGTTGGAAACGACTTCGTTCAAAATTTACCTCGCTAAAATTACATTCTATTGTTCTCGATGACGAGTACTGAAATTTTTGAGTGCCCCGGCGTTCTACCACCTTACCTTCCAAAGGTCGCAGGGTCGATTCCTCGCACGGTACAAACATTTATATTCATGAGTATGATGAAAAAAGAAAATTCCTAACCCGATACATAAAGTAGTTTTATGTTTTCTATGTATATTAAGTATGTATTTACAAAAGTCTAGGTATTTATCAGTTGTATAGTACCTAGTGCTGCTTATCTTGGGACTAGATGGCGCTGTGTACTCCTAAGATTTTGTTATTCTGTCCTAAATTTCCCTCCAAAAACTGAACAGTTATCACTCATTTATTTAGAAATATTATTCTCTACAATATATTAGAAATATTACATCCCGTACGTCATGCTATAAAGTTTACTGGAGCCATAAATAGAAGTCCAGCCTCGGCAACAGTTTACATGACTCTAGGTTTATGTCTGTATGTACTTATAGATATGTGGATTATATAAGGCCAGGGTTATCGTTTTGGTGAGCATTTAACGGCATTTTCGACCTAGAACGATATACTTGCAAACAGCTATACGTTTTCAATTAATTGAATAAGAAAACGATTGTATTTTTTATTTATATTTAGAGTATATGAGTTATTGTTAACTTTTTCGGGAACTCTACAGCAGTTTTAACATTTCTTATTGTAATTCATAGAGGTTACTCCCGTACATGCTAACGATGTTTGCTACTTGAACTGAATTTTAAATTCACTGTAGCTTTTTAGTGGTGCGTTTTTATTATCTATGTCTGTATAATTTTGTTAGGCAAAGAGCATATTCCATACTGCCTAGTTCTAGAAGACCAGTAGTTTTTTCTTTAATTTAAACTTTCATATTACGTACATTATGATTTTAAATATTTATTTAGGTACTGTAATGATTATTGTATTTCGTTTCTAAACTACTTAGATACTTTATGTTAGCGCTGATGGATACATACATCTTTCCATTATCATCAATTAAAAATATCATGTTTGTTTAACATTAAAATGCTACTGGATTTGAATCTTACGGGCTTCGTTCTCAAAGGGGCACTACCAACTCTTAAAACCTACTGTTTGTTTGTTTATTGGTTCTGCCATTAATGGATTTGGCGCTAGAAATAGCTGGAATATAGTTGGTATAGGAAAACTGTATGTTTACCCTGTAACGCGCGTCACTGGCTGTGGATTTAATGACGTGGGTTCAGAATAAGGTTCGCTATATTTGGTAAAAGAAAACATGGTTCCCCAGGTAGACTTTAAACAGGGACAGTAATAGTGTTGCTAGACGTCTCGTATTTCCCGTGAGGTCCTGTATTTTAGGCTTTAAAATGTCCTAGCGAGACTGCCTCTGTCCCGTATTCGAATCGTGCTCCGTTTTTTATTATTAAATCGATAGGATCTATGCTCGACATAATAAATAAATACTCACGCACTCAACGTTTGTACCGCTAATATAATAAAAAGCGAGTTCATGACCGTTTTTAATTATGATTATAATTGTATTGACTTTCATAAATATGTTAAAACTGACTTGCTCCTCAGAAAAATAGGTATATAAAAAAAACAAAGAATGTCACTATATAATTTTGTTTTTTATTTGTCCCGGGTAAAAAACTAAATTCCCGTATTTTGTTGCCTATTTAAGCGTTTGGCAACTCTAGACAATAAGCTGCAAGACGTTATATAAATTTATTTCCAACACTGGGAAGAAATTATAATTTTTTTTTAAGGTTTTGTATTTTATGTTGGGCTAAAAAGGACTTGTATCCAGAGCCGTAAAATATTAAATTAAAAAAAAACTGCGTATGTAAGAACTAAAAAATGCCGCCTCCCTAACACTTCCCCGCTCTACCTCCGGCCAAAATTTTGCAATATAATAATAATAATCTCAGGACAATTCACACAGCGCCATCTGTACCCAAGTTAAGCTAGCTAAAGCTTGTGTTATGGGTACTAGACAACTGATACAAATACATAGATATATTTTTTTCATAAATACACATATATTATACATAGAAAACATCCAGACGGATACAAACAATCATACGCATGATTACAAACGTTTCGTGCGAGGAATTGAACCTGCAATCATCGGAAGTAAAGCGGCGTGCTAACCGCTAGACCACCGAGGTCGTCAAATAGTTATACAATATTGTTTTTACAATAAACAAACGAATATACAAGTCGTTATATTTTATTTAACACCCATACTATAATAGATTATAGCATGCGTGTTAAACAGACGGATAGTAATATAATTATTACTAGCTATTCGCCCCGGCTTCGCACGGGTGTACATGTATTATACATATAAACCTTCCTCTTGAATCACTCTATCTATTAAAAAAAACGCTTCAAAATCCGTTGCGTAGTTTTAAAGATATAAACATACATAGGGACGGACAGACAGCGACAGCGACTTTGTTTTATACTACGTAACTAACTCTCGCCCCGACTTCCCACGGGTGTACATGTATTATATATAAACCTACCTCTTGAATCACTCTATCTATTAAAGAAGCCGCTTCAAAATCCGTTGCGCAGTATTAAAGATTTAAGCATACATAGGGACGGACAGACAGCGACAGCGACTTTGTTTTATACTATGTAATGATGTTATCTATGGTAATATTGAGAAGACATGTTAATATTACTATCTTTATTTGTTTATGACACTATAGCAACAGGTACGCAGGGTAAATAAGTAAATAAACAATGAACTAGGTACGTCAGTCGGTTTCATAATAGTTTTATATAATAAAATCGGTCTAGCGGTCACACATCTTTACGTCCGATGATCGCGGGTTCGATTCCTCGCACGGCACAAACATTTGTATTCATGAATATGATTGTTTGTATCAGTCTGGGTGTTTTCAATGTATAATATGTATGTATTTACGAAAAAAAATCGATGTATTTGTGTCAGTTATCTAGTACCCATAACACAAGCTTTAGCTAGCTCAACTTGGGTTTAGATGGCGCTGTGTGAATTGTTCTGAGATTATTATTATTATATATTATTATTATTATATCACTCGGAGATAATATAACAGTGAAATAACTTTTGGAAGAAAGAAGAAATTCGGATCAGCAGATCGGATATTACTCCAAACGAACATACAACCTTTTCCTCTTTATATAATATAAAATAAAATATACTCTTTATATAATTATAATATTGGTATAGATAGATGGAAGATACGAACTAAATTAATTAGAATTACGTGGGCTATCAGTTTGTTTGACATATCTAAACATCTATACAAATAAATAAAATTGGAGTGTCTGTTTGTAATATTGAAATAACCGTTTTTTATTACATATGAATATAAATACGGTACACCAAAATAACATTTTAACATTTTTGTCTGTCCGTCTGACTGTCTGTCTGTTTGTTCTAGCTAATCTCTGAAATGGCCGGACCGATGTTGACGGGACTATTTTTGGCAGGTAGCTGATGTAATAAGGAGTAACTTAGGCTACTTTTATTTAAAAAAAAAATAAGTTTAATTCCACGCGGACTAAGTCACAGCTAGTTAATTATATAAAAAAAATATTCATAACTGATATTTTGAAATATATTCTTTTCCAGGAGTCATCGGGCTGATCTATCTGGTGATGTACATCTGCATCATTATTTTCTTCTCCATCTGCATGTGTGGTCTCCTGGCCACCATGGATGAACGGATTCCGTACTTCACGCTAGCTGACTCTATTATAGGTGAGCACAGTAATATTTATTTGTGTTCTACCAGTTACCCTCGACTTTTATTGCTTATTAAGATAAATTATAATATATAGTGATAAAATTTGTTATCACGTCAAATTCCATTAAAGTAATTTAAATATTTTGTTGGGAAAAGGCGAAAAGGCACACATTTCTGTTTGTTTGTCTGGCAACAAGGAAGTGCAAGCATTATCGGAAGTAAAACAGTATAACAACACAACAACAAATAACAACTATAACGAACGACTGAAGAAGAACAGGAGAAGAACTAGAAGAAGAAGAAGAACAGGAAGATGGAGACTAAGAGAAAGAACAGGAAGACATTAGTGTAAATACAAACTGCCAAATAACAATCTTGTCAAAAGTAGAATAAGTTAAGCGTAATAGTAAACGTTTCAGGTGACAATCCTGGCATGGGACACAGACCGCTGGTGTTCGAGGAGGGCGCTCTGATCTGGTATAAGGCAGACAACGCCACGCAAGTCAAGAAATATGTGGACAATATCAACGCTTTTCTAGCACGTGAGTAATTAAATTTTTTGATAGTTTATCAGACCTAGAGTAGGAAGTAATAGTGTTTAATTTTAGCACAAGTTTGCGATCCATACAGTTGCGTTTATCAAGTATCGTTTAGAAAAGTCAATTTTTTTTAACGGCCCATCTGATGGTAACTGGTTACCGTAGCCTATGAACGCCTGAAACACCAGGGGTGTCACATACGCGTTACCGTAACCTTAATATACCCTTCTTGAAAAACCCCATGCTGTAGTCTCTCGAGAAAACCTCGGCAGGTAGTTCATTCCACAATCTAAGTGTACGCGGGAGGAAGCTCCTCTGAAACCGCACTGTCCGAGAACACTTAGGTTCCAGCGTGTGGGGATGAATTCCCTGTCGATGGCGTGCGGTGCGATGGTAAAAGGTAGCCGTGGGCATCATGTCAAACAATTCATCAGAACACAGTCCGTTGTATATTCGGTAGAACACACAAAGCGATGCGAAGTCTCGCCTCAAGCTAAGTGGTTCGATACCGTTAAAGAGATTGGGATCATCGACAATTCTCATAGCACGTCTCTGAACCGAGTCAAAAGGACCGAGCTGGTATCCAGGTGCTCCTGCCCAAAGATGAGAGCAGTACTCCATGTGCGGCCGAACTTGCGACTTATCAATAGGTATTTTATGGGAATAGGCATAAAATTTTACAATAAGATACCAAAGGAATATATATATATTGGAATTACCCTTAAATAAATTCAAAACTAACCGATTCACTAAACGATTACTTGAATGACGAGCGTGCATGGCAATAGTTTTCATGTTCGGGATTTTCATTTAATGTTAGACATAGACACCTATATAAATACCTATGTTGCATTGTAAATAAACTGGCTTTAAAAAAAAAGTTATTTAATTGAGTTTCTTGCCAGTTCTTCTCAATTGGATCTATACATCGAACTGGACGGTAGGGAAAAAAAATTATAATGTAAAAACTTGACGTTCATAAGCGGCTAAAATGTTCTACATGAATAAATGATTTTGAATTTGAATTTGAATTTGACATAGATTTAAGAAATAACAGTGTTCATTTTCTATCAATTACAAGTTTTTTCAATCAGTTACGTGAGGACTTTGATTGATTTGTGGTATAGCAAACCCCTTAACATCCGATGGTCACAAATTCGATTCCTCGCATGACACAAACATTTGTATTTAGGAGTATGATTGTATCGGTCTGGGTGTTTTCTATATATAGTTATACTAGCTGTGCTCGCGGTTGAACCCGCTTTAAATTTCAATATATAAGTTTCAATAAAAAATATAGTCTATTCTAAGCTATATTACTGTAAAATTACAACAAAATCCGTTCAGTAGTTTTTGCGTGAAAGAGTAACAAACATCCATATTTACAAACTTTCGCATTTATAATATGTGATAATATTAATAAAATTAAGATTATGAATGTATTTACAGAAAAAAATGTTTTTATATCAGTTGTCTAGTACTTTGGCATTCGATCACGTAGTGTGAATTTTCCAGGGGTACTATTATTATTATAGTAAGTTTTATTTCTTCATTTCAGCTTATGAGAACAAGTCCTTGTTAATCAACGGGGGTGTGAACCAGCGCGAGTGTGGTGAGGTGAAGCCCCCAAGAAAAGAAGTGTGCGCGTTCAACACCTCGCTGTTGGGGCCCTGCTCCAAGGAGAACAATTATGGATACTCCACCAAGACGCCGTGTATCATCATCAAGTTGAATAGGGTACTTACCATTTCTTTATATGGCAATAGTTGTTCATGCACGGGATTTTCATTCAATGTTTATATTACATATATATAAACTGCCTTTTAGAAAAAAAAGTAATTCAATTGAGTTTCTAGCTAGTTATTCTCAATTGACCACTGAGGCTATCCATAGATGTATATGTTATGTTCATCAGTTATTCGACTGGAACCCGGACTACTACGATGACCCTGGGGACCTGCCTCCTAACATACCTCCAGATATCACGGCGTACATCAACTCTACCACCACAGTACAGCAAGTGAGTGATCAGATGCACAAGCTACAAATATTCATTATTATGTATTAGTTGACCCAACAAGCACTTAGTCTGCGAGCCAGAGTTTAATTTCGTCAGTCATTTCAAATTCAATTTAGTTACAAACTTTTTTTATAATATTAGACCTCAAGGGAAAGGGAATTGTTAGTAATGTACTAATAACACCATTGCTAGCAGTGTATCTTATATGGTTCACTCCATGTGGTTCTCCCTGGTGTTAGAATTCACATCTTTATTGTAGAAAAAATCCGATATTTTAAACATATATTAAAAGAAGGTAGTTTGTTTTTAGTACTAATGAAGTACCCAATGTAAGGATTATTACGAATAATGTAAATAGCGCCATCTAGTATTTCTAGACCAACCTACAACACTGACTTTGGTCTATAAAGACGGAGGTCGGTAGTTAAATAATCCTCTTTCGTTGCGTGAGCCGCGGCATTCAGTCGACGAGCGCAGAGCGTGCCAGTTGTGTTTTGGATATTAAAGTGAATTGTATTAGCAATGGGTTTATCCAAGTCTTAGTTGGGCCTGGGGAAAGCTGCAAGTAGTGAAGGTGAGTGTTAATGCATTCTAAAAGGGGCTTTTAAACCTACACCCGTGTCACAAGTCACGGGCGCTACTTGGGGTTTCCCTTGCGGTAGCCGGCTTCAAAGCCTCAGTCGTCCATCATAATTAGTGCTTCTTACACTGGAAAACATTACGATGTTTAATAAATTCACAGTGAATTTACCACGATGGGTCTATTGACCCGACCTCATGTCCATCTTAACATCCTCCACTGGTGCCCCGAAATTCTTTTAACTGGTGATTTAGTTTGTCCAGTATTCACTAGATGCCGTGGTAGAAAGATATTAAATGGCGCTAATAAATAATTCTTCCTTCAGATGATGAACTGAAATGAACTTTAAATTTGTAGTATATAAGATTTATTTTTGTAAAAGACATTTGAATTTAAAATGTTTACGAAATAAAAGAAAAAAAAAAGTTAAATATTTTATTTTAAATGTTAATATGACTTTTTTCTCTAGATTTCATAATACAAAGATCTCAACCATTTTACAAAATTTCGGGCGAGAGGCAATCATTGACGAATTAGGCTTTGACTCGCGGAGTATTTGTAAGAATAACAATCTTTTGTTTTCAGCGTCGTAAAGTGTGGGTGTCGTGCATGGGCGAGCGTCCGGCTGACATTGACGCTTTGGGTCCTTTGAAGTACTGGCCTTACCCTGGCCTGCCAGAGACATTCTTCCCATACGACAACACGCCAGGTTACCTCAGTCCCCTGGTGGCAGTGCAGCTTCTCAAACCAACTTGTATGTTTTTAATTGTCTTAAATTCATTGATTAAACTGTGACTTCGGAGAACAACAGTTCAACGTAGTTATTGAGTTGCTATAAGAACACAGTTCCCTGGAATAGGCCATGTATGAACATCTAAGATTAAAGTTGTACATTTAAGCTTGGAAATTTTTGCATCCTATTATGTCTACCATATCTTATTTGCTATTTAGAATGTCTTATTCAAACCTCAGAACATTAATAGAATATGAATTAAGTTAATTAATTAACAAATGTATTCTTTTATTACCAGAGTCAGTGACTATAATATATTTTTGTCTATGATTTCACATTTAATTCATTGCAAGTAAGTTGCACATAAAGTGCAATACGATGTGTTAAATCCCTGGAACACCAAGGTTAAAAATTAATTATAATCTCCTCCGATTGATCCCCCATCCAATTCAAACAGGGATCGAAATTATAACGGCCTGAGCCGAGGTTTAAACCCCTAGCTGTGCCCTCAGACTAAAGTCGTATCCGTTTGCCTTCAACCGCTCCATAAGTCCTTCCTTTGGTTTGGAGTGCTATCTGCGCTCGCCCCCTATCGTCCGGTGAAGCTGTAATGGCCAGCTGCGGCCAACAGCATTAGAGTAGTCCGAAAAAAAAAATGTTACAGTACTGTTTGTATGTGTCTATATGTAATTTTATAATTTCACCATTTTTATATATTTTTTATTTGCAGTGCACCAGATTATAAACATTCGATGCCGCGCCTGGGCCCGCAACGTTAAATACACGGAGAGTTTGAAGGAGAGGCTGGGCTCCACACATCTCGAGATTATGATCGACTGATGGGACCAAATGATGACACATATCTTATTAGTTTAAACTTTCTATGTGATTATTAGTCAAATTTTTTTATAGGTTATTAATTATACACTAAAGATCTTGCCCAGTGGCGTGCCTTGGGAGAGGCGTACGTCCAGCAGTAGAATAGAATAGAATAGAAATCATTTATTCAAATAAACTTAATTTAAGCAGTTTTGAATAGTCAACATTTTTTTAAATCTACCGCTTATTCGAAAAACTGTCTCATCACAAGAAGAATAAGCAAGAAACTTGTGTGTTGCTCTTTTAAACAATCCTTGTAAGTTCACATTTTACAAGTCGAAACGTGTGAATACGAACTACCGACCAGCACTAATTTATTTAGGCTCAAATATGTGTACTGCAATGGGCTGATGATGATGATCATGGTGATTTATACACTTGAACTCGTTTTAAAAATATTTCTTTATAGATGAAATGATATTTTATTGAGTATTTAAAATACTTTTTATACACTAACTAAAAAGTTTCTTTCTAAATGAAATGAAATTTTATTGCATAAAAGAGTGTTTTTAACAATTAATTTTTGTTCCACACATTTAATTATTTCTGACATACAATAGACAATATAAAAGAAATCTTCGGTAAAAAACCTGATCTTTTTAATAAGTTTAATAACTATTAGTTATTTTTTTTAATTAGATGTTGGTGTATAAAATTGTGGACGTAGGAAACGCAATATGATTTCATTTATAAATTTAATAATTTTCCCAAATGATATCACGTTGTATCGAAGTTACATATTTTTTTTATTTCTCTAAGCAAGTTATAGAAACATAAATTTTTAATATAGAAAACCTCACAAAAAAGTCATCCAAGTTATGAGATATTGAGGAAAAGTGATCAAGGTTATGAAATTATGGAGTTTACTTTTAAGATGTCAATGAACGGACGAAAATTCTTTTCAGCCTGCTCTCTCTATGTTACATATTTTTTTAAAGTAGTAAGTGAGAATATTCTACTCATATTGTGCCTTACAATGGTGTATGTAATTTGATGTAAAATATAATAAGTGTTAGAGTATAATTAGAAATTTTGTAATGGATTTTTTCGTTTGTAGCAATTTTCTGAGCCATTGATTGTTGGAATTAGGACTTATTAAAACATTACTTTCAAATACCTCCTATAAACCTACTTTAACTATTATCATTCTATCAAATTAGAAGATCATGTCGGAGATATTCAGTGAAATATATCACGGAACTATTATGATAAAATTCATAATAGATTTTCATTGTTGCATTTATTTTCTTAAATGAATTGTTCCAGAAACTCGTAGTTGTTTACTTGTTTGTATGTACGATATCTAGTTTATTGTTGTTTATAATCATAATATGAATGTTAGGCATTATAAAAAGCTAAGGAGTAAATGATCAACAGATTATTAAAGAGAATTTACAAATAGCATCAAATTTTGTATCATTCCACAGTCACAGCAAATTCTGAATTCAGCATGCTTTTTCTCCATATAAAATCCTTTTAAAAATCAAGTCCAATTATTCATTCATTCATAATTTAAGAGCCACGGAAAGCATGCTTTTTCTACATATAAAATCCTTTTAAAAATCAAGTCCAATTATTCATTCATTCATGCCACGCTCTTGTCGGTGGAGCTTTTGCTAGTTCCCTCGATCTTCCATAATTCTTTTTAAATGTTTTTTCAATTTTTAATTTGCTTTACGTAAGTCTTCCCCTCTACGGGTGTGATACCGTTCATGCATTGATTTAATCATCACACACATAATAATGACCCCTCCGATCGATTCCCCGGCCAATTCAAACGGGGTCTGAAATTATGACGGCCTAATCCTAGGTTCGATCCCCTAGCGGTGCCTTCAGACTAAAGTCGCATCCGTCAGGCGGAAATTGGCCTACAGCCGCTAAATTATATTCCTGCGCGTTTGGGTGCCATCTGTACTCGCCCCCTATCGTCCAGTGAAGCTGTGGCCAGCTGCGGCCGACAGCATTAGAGTAGTCCGAACAAAAACATGATAACTTGATGTCTGCAGTGTTGTTCATGTATATAGGCTATAGTTATCGCTTAACATTCAAATAATTAAAAAAAAGAAACATAAACAAAAACGCTTCAAACTATGTTTATTTAAATAAATTACATAAATCATTAATCTCACTCTTTCTAACAATATAATGGAACATACACGTTCGTTTTCATTTCAAATCAAAATGGCGGATTCTTACAAACAACTTTGACTGCTCAATGTATTAATTAGTATATATAATAATAATGTAATTAGTTTATTGTAAAATAACCTGTTACAATGCTAAAACAATACAACAATATTAAAAATAAGAAAAAAAAGAAATCAGCGCCTGATATAATACTGCAAAGTGTTTCAAAGTATCAATGAACACAAATATATACGTTTTGGCAGTGCCCAAGACAATGGGGATTTATTAAACATTGATTTAGCTAAGATCTCCTGCTGATATTAGGATTGTTTTAACAGTACATATTTGCAAGAATCTAATCTAAACTTAATTTGAAATTGGTAAAAATTTTTAAAGTACTATAATTAATTGTACAATAATCAATTCAAAGAAAAAGACTGTGAATTAAGGCCCAACAGGTATGTCCGTTTGGAATAATTAATTGCCTAAACCAACTTAAACTTAATTTGAAGTTAAAGTAAATTTTTGAAGTGTGAACATTGTCCAATGTGTAATAATCGATTCGAAGAAAAAGACTGTAAAATATGGCATAAGGGGGCTTTAATGAGTCATCGGTTTCTGTTATAACCCTTTATCAATCAACAACAGGAGTATTTTTTAATAATTTAGATAAAATTAATTTTGGTTCACTAGCCGTTGTATTTCTTTCATATATCTGTATCACCACAAGTATTATTTTATATCTGCTTTAATTACTAAATTCTGCTAATGTTGTATCATTCTGCGCTCCGTCTAAAGGTCTTGTCTCTTGTTTATATCTGCTTTAACTAAATTCTGCTAGTGTTGTACCATTCTGCGCTTCGTCTACAGGTCTGTACCCGCTTAGTCTTACTGTTCTGTTGGCATCTACTCGATCATGATCTCTATATGGACGGTGCCCATTCCCTCGTGCCTGTCGTACATGATATTGTGCGCCCACGCACGACACTCTATGTTGATCAACATTCCGGCTGCAAAAATGGAAATCATTAGTTACAATTCTACGGAATTACAGGATATAAATAATCAAAACAAGTCTTTAATTGGTATTTATGTATAATATATTTAGTGGGAATGAAGAATGCCATATGGCATTAAGCTCGCCTTTGTACACGTGTTTTTGTGCAATGAATAATAAAACAAAAAGAATACACTTTATAGGTAGAAAAATCTCTCATAGACATGAATAGGATTACATGAAAGGAGGAACCAATGAGATCACTCTCCAAGACGAATCTGGTTGTGTTGACTTGTTTCTTTACTTAGTGATTTTAGTGTGGTCGCTTAATTTAGTTGGGGCATCAGTTTGTTTGCCAGTTTCACTTCTATTCTTTCAGTCGCATAAAATAAAATCGACGAAGATCTGATTATAGGTTTTCTTATAACGGACAAACGAGTCCGCGGAACAACTGGCCAGCTGAGTGATTATGAATTGTTAGTTAATGATTTCCAAGCTCATCCAGAAGGAATATGGGCCGATTCAAAGGTTTCAATATAGTATTAGTTCGGAAATATCACTGCCGCTGTGAGCTGATAATGTGGTTGCGCGTGGTAATATATTTCAAGTAATAAGTTTTGTAAATATTACACACAACCCTTTTTTATTTCTGAAATTTTATCGCGTGGAATTCTCTATCGATAAACTCATGTTCTTTTATTGAGAGAGAATACCACTCCTAAATTGTGGAAAGTTAAAAGTTAATCTTACTTTTCGGCCTTTGTAGGTGTACAGCGACCAGGGGACTGAGGTAGCCTTCTTGATTGGTGTACGGAAAGTAGTAGCCAGGGAAACCTCTGTTCGGTAGATACTGAATTGGACCAATGTTCTCCCTGTCGGCAGGATTTTCACCTTCGCAAGAAACCCACACCATGTTCAGCTGAAATCATCGATAGGTGCAACAGTCAATTCCCAATAAATGTTTCAATAATCAATTTAATCCTACTTATTTTATGATACTCAGTAGCGTATACTCGTAGCTATACCAAGCTACAACACTACAAGACCGATGAACTTCTTAGCTTTCCACTGATTAGATTCACTGTGCGGGAGCCGGGTCCAACGTGTGGCAGAGAGGTAAACACCGTCCAATTTCAGGGATCTATGATACATGTGTAGGTTTAAAGGGCCGCTTGGTCGACGTTGCGTCAACACTCATCTATTATAACAGTCACAGCCATAATAAAAAACCCGGGGCGTTGCGAGTTTTTCCCCATAAGGGGGATTCAACCTATAATTACAAGGGTGGCAAGGTAGACGCGGCATATACTTAGTACTTACAATAATACAATATACGAGTATCTGGTTGTTGATCAATAACAGTCTGAGTTTGATCACCAATAGATATAATGTTACCAGTAGCGATGGTTAGGTTTCGGCACTAAATTTGTGGTCTCACACATGCTAATGGAATAATATAAATCCAATTAGTAATGAAATGGAGACTTCCGCAAAGCAATATCTAATACGATAAATAATATTTTTGCCAAGTTTTACATTCAGAACAACATCTGATGTTGTATGTTGGAAATAAAAGAGTAGTGAGTAGTTAGAGAAATCGTGCACCTGACTACCTGATTACGATCTAAGATCTAACTTTTTTAAAAAAAAATATATTGGAGTTAAACTCACATAATTCTTATCATGAGCAGTCAAATTCCTGATATGATTCTTCAAGTCTTCAGGCATGGCCGTTGGCAAAGTGTCCGAGCTATTGTAGAAGTGTGGTTTCCACGCGAATATCTTATTGAGTTTGAGGAAGACGCATGGCGTGGACTTGTGGTACGCGAAATGGTTTCCTTCGACGCATGGACCCCAAGTGCTGATGTCGACATCGCAGACCTTGCCGGCTGGTGGTGGATGCTGGAAGTCGCAGTTGTGTATATTCTGGCCAGCCCCGGCTTTTTTATCATCCCGTTTGTACGCTAGGTGGAAATAATTTTCACTATTATTATCTTAGTACAGTGGACCCGCGGTAATCCGGCCCCTGTCTAATGCGGCCCCCCTTGTAATCCGACATTGTCTATTATTTGTTATTGAATATTACTTTGACAATATACTTCAGAGTGCATATACATACATACATATATAATATAGAATCTTATCACTGGATCTGTAATTTGTCGGATTACAAGATACTCTTTAGTAAAAAATTCCGGACTATAAGCAGGGGACCCTTAAGCAGCACTCTATAATCCGACAAATACGGTGGTCCGACACTGCCCTGCAAAACGTTTGTCGGATAACCGGGGGTCCACTGTATGTATATATTATAAAGAATCATCATTGGATCTATAATTTGTCGGATTACAAGGTACTCTTTTGTAAAAAAATTCGGACTATAAGGGGTCTTAGGCAGTACTCTATAATCCGACAAATTGGATAGTCCGACACTGCCCTGCAAAATGATTGTCGGACTACCGGGGGTCCACTTTTGGGGGGCTTTTATATTGATTGCCGCATGCATCCGTATGTAAAGTGCGAATACTGTAACTACCATATAGTAATTTTTGTAGCTGTGACGTGGTCGTGTGGAATGAGTAGTCATGCTCACTAAAATATCCAGACATGTGGCGGCGTGGTGGGCCGGGTCATTGGGCTCCCTAAAATATGGTCGAGCGCAGTGATGGCTGGCTCATCCGTCATACTCGTGAAACGAGTGCTGCTTGTAGGGACTGGTCTGCTCTTATCACTACGACTGATTTAATCTTATTGCATATTTATATTTGACCCGAAAAATAGTGCTTATTGGTAGTTTGTATTCACACGTTTCGACTTGTAAATGTAAACTTACAAGGATTATTTAAAAGAGCAACACACAAGTTTCTTGCTCGTTCTTCTTGTGATGAGACAGCTTTCCGAACGAGTGGTAGATAAAAAACAAATTGTTATGACTATTCAAAAGTGCTTAAATTAAGTTTATTTGAAAAAAAAACTGTTATATTATAAACCCGGAAGTTTGTGAGTGTGGATGCATGTTTATTTCTCTTTCAGGCAAAAACTACTAATATATATAGCTTATACGTCAGAATAACACATCTGTTATAAATTACAAACCGGTGAAATCGCGGGCACAGCTATTAATAAATATTGCAGAGAATATGTAAAGTTTGAACATAAAACTAGAATTACCTTTCAGAAACTTAGACAATTCCTTCACCCAAAATTGGTGGCTACCAGGATCATTTCCTTTGTACCAAATAACGCTGCTCATAACCTCCGGAGGGAGCGGCCTGAAGCCTAGTCCTGGATTGGTGCCAATTATGCTTTTGTCTAATTGCCACATGGGCTGCCTTGGGTCCAGGAGTTGGAGGAATGTCCACATACAAATAGCCACCAAGATAGCCAATGCAGCGTAAAATATGAAATAGAATAGTGCTATTTTCGCTGAAATAATAAATAGCATAAAATTATTAATTAAAAAAAAACAAATTAAAATATTGGATACACCTAGGGGTGTCCTCAGACTAAAGTATTCTTCAGGCGGGAGTTGGCCTTCAACTGCACCATAAGTCTTTCGCGGGTTTGGAGTGCCATCTGCATTCTCCCCTTATCGTCCGTTAAACTGTGAAGGCCAACTGCGGCCAAGAGCATTAGAGTAATCCGAAAAAAGTCAATTATACAATGTTTTCCTACAACTAAAAACAAATGGAGGTAAATTTCGAGGAGTTCTGTCGTTAAGGACAACGAAGATTTACCATGATGAAAGCCAAGACTCTCTGTCAAGAGAACAACTAAAGAAGAGGGCGTCCATCCAAGGCTAGACTAGACTAGTCTACAGTAGGTAGGGTAGAGCGCTCGACTCCTCGCCTCGCCAAGGACAATGAAGAGATACCATAATTAAAGCCAAGATTAGTCTGTCGTCAAGAGAACAACTATAAAAGAGTGTGTCCGTCCAAGGCTAGACTAGACTAGTCAGTAGGTAGGGTAGAGCGCTCGACTCCTCGCCTCGCCAAGGACAACGAAGAGATACCATAATTAAAGCCAAGATTAGTCTGTCGTCAAGAGAACAACTATAAAAGAGTGTGTCCATCCAAGGCTAGACTAGACTAGTCTACAGTAGGTAGGGTAGAGCGCTCGACTCCTCGCCTCGCCAAGGACAACGAAGAGATACCATAATTAAAGTCAAGATTAGTCTGTCGTCAAGAGAACAACTATAAAAGAGTGTGTCCATCCAAGGCTAGACTAGACTAGTCTACAGTAAGTAGGGTAGAGCGCTCGACTCCTCGCCTCGCCAAGGACAACGAAGAGATACCATAATTAAAGCCAAGATTAGTCTGTCGTCAAGAGAACAACTATAAAAGAGTGTGTCCGTCCAAGGCTAGACTAGACTAGTCAGTAGGTAGGGTAGAGCGCTCGACTCGCCGGCGGCCAGGATGTCGTCTAATAATCTCATTGCTTCAATTCTGTGGCCATCGCCATTTCCGTTCCGAGCGTGCATCATTCTTGTGATTTAGACCTACTTCGTACGTCTACATTGTTTTCGGCAATCTACTCTAATGTAGTAATGAAGAGTTTCTTTGTTTGAACGCATTCACGAAACTTGGAGTTGGATTAAAAAAAAATTTTGTAAATTTTATAGCTCAATGTCTTCTGAAAGAAATAAGAATAAAAATAAGAAATGACTGCCCATTTGTTAGAAATATAATTAAGAAAACGGCGAGTATAACGTGTTATAATTTAAATTTAAATTATAATTTTATTAAATAGCACTTTACAAATCATAGGCCACTATCTCCTTCCAAACCATGCATCTAAGTTAGATATAGTATACTATATAAATACTATACTTACATTCATGAACACTATTATATACATATACACTACACATATATACGTTAACAAAAAGAAATTGTTTCGTTACTACCTCGATTAACGCGTATTGTTTGAATATAGCAATTTTACTCTGTTTTTGAGTTACTGTAAATTTCCCTCATTTCCTATATTCAACTTAGATTTGCGTTTTTTTATTGGACACTGAAATATATTTTGTTGTTTTTTACGATATGGCTTCGTCAACAAGACTTGGGTTGACGAGTGTAATATATAATTACTATTTATATTTAGTCGAGATAAGTGATAAAAGCACACTCACACCAGCTGGAGCCTGTCCTGCCGCAGAACTCCTTGGTTTTAGGGTTCCATATGAAGCGCCGGACCCTCTCGTTAGTGGGGAGGCTGGGTTCCTGCTCCTTGTAGTACATATTGAACCTCTCCAGACTGGTGAGGTCTGACACTCGCTTCTTGACCGTCATCTTGACTCGATGACTTTTCGGCACTGGAATTAATGTTTTTTACTTGACTGGAGTGGCATATAGGTTGATGCGTCATCTGACGATAAGTGGTAATTGTCACCAGGGGAACTTTTTAGGCTGCAGCCCAGGGCCCCGAGGATACAAAGGGCCCCCAGTCCCCACTGAAACGATATTTAGAATTTAAAAAAGTATATAGAATGTTTAAAAACCTATCATAAGGTTGGCAACACTGAGATCAATTAATCCATGCAAGTGCGCGTCTATCGAAAGGAACGGGGAATTTGTTTGAATGGTCACTTGTTTTTGGTCGGTGTATTTTTTTAGTTGAGTAATGTAATTCATGATCCTCCCTGACTGTCACCTATATATCAAATAAAACCTAAATATCAAAAACAATATATATATATATATATATACATAACAGATTAAAATTCTTTTAGAATTACACGTAACTGAAAAACTCGGTTTCACAAAAAACCTATATTTAACTCATTCCCATGAAGAATTCAGACAGTAACAAATTTGAAACATGTACTAGATATATATGAATTTTCAGAAAAACTAAGCAAATACATTTACTCTAATAATAGAGTAGAGTGGAACGTAAATATTTACTGCAAAATTTCAATTGAAAGTATTGCTATCGCACTTGGGTGAGGGGACACACAAGGTCTCTAATAGAGATAAAACGAATACTGAAAAATAGCTAATATCGCAATTTAATTCGAATTCAAATTCAAATTTCATGTAGGTCTACTACAGACTCTTATGATATGTCAAATCTACCGTCAGTTTGGAATGATTTCTTTTTTCTTTCTTTGAGATCAGAAGAACTGAAAAGAAACTGAGCTGAGTTTCTTATTCTTTTCAAATAAATGTTATACATGTTTACAATAATACAGATTCATTATAAATTCAAATTTGGGAGAATGAGAAGTACTGACAAGAAACTCAGCTCATATTCTTTTCAAATAAATGTTATACATGTTTACAATAATACAGATTCATTATTTATTCGATCTCGGTGGTCTAGCGGTCTAGTTAGTAGTCGTTTATTTTCTTGGCCAAATGGTTAAATAGAATTAAATGGATTTTGGCGTAAAAGTAGATTGTAACAGATGGACGTCTATCTTTCAGCATCTGCTTCTTCCTTATCCCATTCATTTGTGGTCGGCGTAAGAGAGTAAATAACGAGATAACATATTACGCCGAAACGAAGAGTATGTCTCTTTGTTTCGGCGTAATATGTTATCTCGTTATTTACTCTCTTTCTTCCCATATCATCTTTCACATCTATCCATTACTTTTTCGGCCTTAGAGGATATAGTCTATCTTCAATCTTAAATAAAAGCGGACGAAGCCAGGGCTTATTATAGTTGGTTTTTTTCTACTATAATAAGCCCTGGCTTCGTCCGCGTCCCCAATATATATATATATATATATATAAGAAGAATTAGCGAATCCAATCGTTCACGCGTGATTCATAACCAAGGAAATAAGATTATTATGATATGATATATGCATATATATATAGTCGGGAAAGGCTGGACCGAATTCTCTAATTCTTCTGTTATTGTGTTTGGAGAAGATTCATACGAAAGAAGAAAATTAGAAAGCTACGTATTATTTTTTATTAATTATATCAATTTGATAATTATGTATACTACTTAATACAGGACAACGCCTGAGTGGTTAGTAGTTAGTTAGTACACTATATTAAAACATTCCATTATCATCTACAAGAAAAAAACCACTTACCCGACTAAAAATGAATATCCGCTTGCAAGATGCGCAAGAGTCTGGCGGCGCGAGACAACTGCGACCATGTTACGTGGACTGAGCTCACAGGATAATAGGACGATGGTATGTATTCAAGAGCCACGTTTGAGCTGCTGGATTATAACCAGTGGAAAGCGGTTTGACCTGGCAGTGCCTGACCGTTCATAGTCGGTTTATTTTATTGATTGACTAGCTGTTCCCGCGACCTCGTCTGCGTGGAATTTAACGTAATTTTTCTACAATAAAAGTAGCCTAAGTTACTCCCTTTTACATCAGGTACCTGCCAAAAAAAGTCCCGTCAGAATCGGGCCTGCCATTTCAGAGATAAGCCAGAACAAGAAGGACAGACAGAAAAATTTAAAAAAATGTTATTTTGGTGTATGTACTGTATTTATATTCATATGCATGTAGTACTCGTAACTCGCTTTTTATTAAATTAGGAGTACGAACGTTGCGTACATGAATATTTTTGTCTAGCGTAGATCGATCCATTTAATAATAAAAATCGGAGTACGGTTCGAATATGGGACAGAATCAGTCCCACCGGGACATTTTAACCTAAGCCTAAAATACGGGACGTCCCGGGAAATACGGGACGTCTAGCAACGCTATCCGTGATCATCCATAAGGTTGCTTGTATTGCATAGTGCCATCCAGCCTGATCCAGCCGTGTCGCCCCCTCACGCGATCTCTGCAAGTTCTCGTGATTTGTCACCTCGACGTGATTAATGTTACCTTATATAAGAATTGTTATTGTGTATTACACGTACAGACAGACATACACGGAGACAGACGTTACAAGTACATCTTTCTATATGAAAACTACTTGAACTGCAGAACTGACAATATTTTTTTCTCTATGCCAATGACTATTGTAAAATAAAATAGGAAATATTTATTCAAATAAACTTTAATTTAAGCACGTTTGAATAGTCACACAGCCTAATATCCGATGGTCGCGTGTTCGATTCCTCGCACAGCATAAACATTTGTATTCATGAGTATAATTGTCTGTATCGGTATGAGTGTTTTCTATGTATAATATGTATCTATTTATGAAAAAAATATGTATTTGGCTTAACTTGGGTCTAGATGGCGCTGTGTGAATTGTCCTGAGATGATTATTATTATTCTTATACCAGAGGCTGTTATAAATCTGCCAGAAAAAAGATTTAAATGTCAAATAAAACAGGTCCTTTGCAAAAAAGCTTAGTATAAAATTGAAGAATTCGTTAACGATAATAATGTTTTTATAGAAAAACTTTAAATCCATAGCACTGACAATATTATCTGATTACACTAATAATGAGTGCGTAGTGATTTCTATGTTGACTATCGCATGCCTCTTACTTCTTATACTGTAATTATTTATATAAAAAAACGTCTATTAAAAAGAGCAAAACACAAGTTTCTTGCTCATTCTACTTGTGATGAATCTGCATTCCGAATGAGTGGTAGAATCAAAATATGACTATTCAAAAGTGCTTGTAATGAGCTACTTCTATTATTCGGAAAGCTGTCTCATCACATGAAGAACGAGCAAGAAACTTGCGTGTTGCTCTTTTGTCCTAACTTTACATTTTTAAGTTGAAATGTGTGTACCAAGAGTGGTCAAAGAATTACGGATTTAGTGCTTATGGTACAGTTGGTTACATTAATGAGACACGGATCATACATAATGATTTATTTACACATGATTTGTTTAACGGTACAAGTTGTCCAAGACATACGATTATTGACGTGTGCAAATTATCAAGACATTTTATAACTCATTGATCTGCCTTTTTTATGCATGGTAACATATGGTAGAATAATTGCAGACTTTAGTCTTATGAAATGGTAAAGCATATGAGTTCCCATGAGAGTCGTAATAAACTTCTGTCGATGGTCGACGGTTACTATTTTTCACAATGTTCTTTGCTGTTCCGTTCTTATATTATACTAGCTGTACCCGCGACTTCGTCCGCGTGGAATTTAACTTTATTTTTCTGTAACAAAAGAATTTTTCTAAAACAAAAGTAGCCTATGTTACTCCTTATTACATCAGCTTCCTTCCAAAAAAAGTCCCGTCAAAATCGGTACAGCCATATCAGAGATTAGTCGTCATATAGATAGATAGATCATATAGATATAATTTATTTCATTGTTACTAATCACACACAATTACATGTTCGGTCATAATGTTCATAATATAATATCATAAGAGTCTGTAATAGACCTACATGAATAAAGATATTTGAATTTTGAATTTTACAAACTTAAATTTAAAGAATACAAAGCCGGGCAAATGGCTCCTGGATATCTAGGTACAACGCCTTCATTACCGGGTCTGGTAGGGTTGCCAACTTTTTTTTGACAATAAATTGTATAAACTGGTTTGGATAGTAAAAAAATAAAGTAAGAAGAAAAAAGTATTCTTAAAATTTCATGTTTTTATTGCTTCAAAAATGTACTTTTGTGTGCTTTTAACACTAGAGCTGTGACAAATGTCACAACTCACAACTGACATTTAACATTTCGTTCAGTAATTCGTCGATTAAACAGAAAAATGTCAGTTTTCAAAATTAGAAGCTAGAATTGCCTCCTTTTATATAAGTCAATTAAATTAACCACGCCGTCTTAATCATTATCTAAATACTTTTAAAATTATATATAATACTTCTGTGTAAATTAATAATAATAATAATAATATCTCAGGACAATTCACACAGCGCCATCTAGTCCCAAGCTAAGCAGAGCTTGTGTTATGGGACTAGACAACTGATATAAATACATTGATACATGTTTTTTGTAAATAAATACATATTATACACAGAAAACACCCAGATCGATACAAACAATCATACTCATGAATACAAATGTTTGTACCGTGCGAGGAATCGAACCCACGACCATCGGATAGTAGAGCGGTATGCTAAACCACTAGACCACTACGCTGTCAAAAACTTTAAAAGAAAAAATAACTTAAATTAATTTAATAACTTTATAGGCTTGTCTTGTAAAAATGTACATTTTGATTACTGTCATTTTTCTATTTAACCGACGATACATAAATTGTTTCCATTATCCATTATAAACATTTCGTTCAGTAATTATAAATCGTTGAGTACCCATAATGAGTATTTTGTTTTACGCATCACAGTGAAGGTTGAAAATAAAGTATTTATGCATACTTCATTTGTATGTATAAAGTGTAAAGTATTACCAAAAATAAAGTAGGATACGTTATTATAAAGTATGGTTGACAACGCTAGAGTCGCCCGGGTGGGATGCTGAGCTGCCGAGATGCCCAGCGGCGGGAGAGCGGGCGACCGGACGCGGCCCATTGTCGCGCACGCTTCCTCTGACCTCCACTCGTGGCCAGTTAGCTCCTACCTATTTTACACACATGTAACACGTGGTCAGTGTTATATTATACACCCAATTATATCTCACTAGCTGTGCCCGTGGATTCTCGCATTAAATTTCTATAAAAAATATAATCTGTGCTCGCGGTTCAATCGCATTAAATTTCAATAAAAAATATAGTCTGTGCACGTGGATTCTCGCATTAAATTTCAATAAAAAATATAGTCTGTGCCCGTGGATTCACTCCCATTAAATTTCTATAAAAAATATAGTCTATGCCCGTGGATTCACTCCCATTAAATTTCTATAAAAAATATAGTCTATGCCCGTGGATTCACTCCCATTAAATTTCTATAAAAAATATAGTCTATGCCCGTGGATTCACTCCCATTAAATTTCTATAAAAAATATAATCTGTGCCCGTGGATTCACTCCCATTAAATTTCTATAAAAAATATAGTCTGTGCCCGTGGATTCACTCCCATTAAATTTCTATAAAAAATATAGTCTGTGCCCGTGGATTCACTCCCATTAAATTTCTATAAAAAATATAGTCTGTGCCCGTGGATTCACTCCCATTAAATTTCTATAAAAAATATAATCTGTGCCCGTGGATTCACTCCCATTAAATTTCTATAAAAAATATAATCTGTGCCCGTGGATTCACTCCCATTAAATTTCTATAAAAAATATAGTCTGTGCCCGTGGATTCACTCCCATTAAATTTCTATAAAAAATATAGTCTGTGCCCGTGGATTCTCGCATTAAATTTAAATAAAAAATATAATCTGTGCCCGTGGATTCACTCCCATTAAATTTCTATAAAAAATATAGTCTGTGCCCGTGGATTCACTCCCATTAAATTTCTATAAAAAATATAGTCTGTGCCCGTGGATTCACTCCCATTAAATTTCTATAAAAAATATAGTCTGTGCCCGTGGATTCTCGCATTAAATTTCAATAAAAAATATAGTCTATGCCCGTGGATTCACTCCCATTAAATTTCTATAAAAAATATAGTCTATGCCCGTGGATTCACTCCCATTAAATTTCTATAAAAAATATAGTCTGTGCCCGTGGATTCTCGCATTAAATTTCTATAAAAAATATAATCTGTGCTCGCGGTTCTACTCGCATTAAATTTCAATAAAAAATATAGTCTGTGCCCGTGGATTCTCGCATTAAATTTCTATAAAAAATATAATCTGTGCTCGCGGTTCCACTCGCATTAAATTTCAATATAAAATATAGCCTATGTGTTATTCTGATCCATAAGCTATATTACTGTAAAGTTTCATTAAAATCCGTTAAGTAGTTTTTGCGTGAAAGAGTAACAAACATACATACTAACAAACTTTCGCATTTATAATATTAATAAGATATATAAAATTGTTTCTTATTTATATATTTTCCAAAGCCGGGCCTGAGATCTCCTTGTAATTACATATAATTAAATATTTTATGTACTGTATATGAATGTATATGAACGTTTTATTATTTTATTTATAAACTCTTAGAGCGTCACATCATATTTTGTGACATCTGTGACTTGTGTGACTGTCATGCATGTAGGCGATGTAATCAGTTTCAATCAGTTCAACCGTCCGCTTATTTGTTATTTCAATTCTATAAATAAATGCTATTTTATTTTGTGTGATGTAAAGATTTGACTTCAGCGATATAATGTTAACAAGTAGATTATTTTTTATTCCAAGTCCCATCAAAATCGGTTCAGCCGTTTCAGAGATTAGCAAGAAGAAACAGACAGACAATTTTTTTATTCTAAATTCAATAAATATATCTGGTCTTAACACAGCGCCATTTGGTCCCAAGCTAAGCTAGAAGAGCTAGTGTTATGGGTACTAAACCACTGATATAAATACATAGATAACTTTTTTTTGGAAATACATACATAATATATATAGAAAACACCCAGACTAATACAAACAATCATACTCATGAACACAAATGTTTGTACCGTGTGAGGAATCGAACCCGCGACCGTCGGATAGTAATGCGGTATACTAAACCACTAGACCACCGAGTCCGTCATCAATATAATATTAGAAGAAGTATCTTGTAAATAAAACTAGCTGACTCGTGTAAGGAGGAATCGAACCCGCGACACGCGAAAGGAAGATGTGCTAATCCGCGACCACAGGGGCCGTCGAAGTGTACAGAATAAATAAGTATAATTAAAACAATACGTTTGAATCGCAAGAGACAAATCTCCAGCTTCCTCGAAATGTTAAATGGGGTTACGGTAATAAATCGGCGATCGGTAATGATTCGCTGAGCAGCGGTGCGATAACGATAAATTGATATCAAAATAAACAAAATAAACAATTGCATGCGGCTCGTGTGAGACGGACCCGTGCAGATCGCGTTCCGTACGTATTAGGAATATTATTCATTTTCATAATACGTACTATTTAGTAATTAACTTAACTAAATTAAACCGATTTAAATTTATATGGCAATTGATTTGTCATTAAATTAACTTTATATGACAAATCAATTGCCATATAAATTTAAATCGGTTTAGAAAATAGGGGTTGATAGAAGGGTGATAATTTGGGGTTGTATGTATATTTCAATATAAATAGGGGTATAAAAATTAGTTATAAACCTATTCTCAGACCTACGCGGTGCGATAACGATAAATTGATATGAAAATAAACAAAATAAGCAATTGGATGCGACTCGTGTGAGACGGACCCGTGTAGATCGGGTTCCGTACGTATTAGGAATATTATTTATTTTCGTAATATAACATTTATTAATTAACTAACTGAGCAGGCAAACTTTGTTTTGCCATATAAATTTAAATCGCTATTAAAAAATAGGGGTTGAAATAGAAGGGTGAACATGTAGGGTTGTATGTATTTTATATGACATATTATAAAGAAAATACAATATAAAAAATAAATGTTAGAGGTGGATAACCCTTATCACTTAGGGGTGTGAAAAATAGATAGTAGCCGATTATCAAACCTACTGAATCTACATTTATATTACTCAAAGGTGACTGACGTAGTGATCTATCAACGCACAGCCCAAACCACTGGACGGTTCGAACTGAAATTTGCCATGCAGGTAGATGTTATGACGTAGGCATCCGCTAAGAAAGAATTTTGATTAATTCTACCCCCAAGGGGATAAAATGGACGATGAAAGTTTGTATGAAACTTTGTCAATTTTAAACCGATCGGGCTGAGACTTTGCATGCATATAGCTACTATGACGTAGGCATCCCCTAAGAAAGGATTTTGATAAATTCCACCCCTAAGGGGATATATTAACGCGAGCGATGCTGCGGGCAAAAGCTAGTATGCATATAAAATGTCATAAAAACCGTTTCGGAGGAATATGGTAACTAATTTGTTTAATTGTGACACGAGAATTTTATATATAAGATAATAATGTTTGACGGCCTTGGTGGTCGAAAACGGAAGTAAAGTAGATTAGCACATAGTTTTAAGTACAATGGTAGTGAGTTCGTGAAGACTGACGTATAAAAAGAGTGAGTGACTTTTGTTTGGAGGAAAGAAAGTCCGACCACTAGAGCAATATGAGAAATTTAAAAGAACTGTTTCAAAGTAATGTTATTCTTTTAAAGGTTTATCTTCATATATACAATAAATTGCGACTTTGAAGTGGCAATGGGCAGGGCACATAGCTTGTAGGACAGATGGCCGTTGGGGCAGTAAAGTCCTCGAGTGGCGACCACGGACCGGAAGACGCAGCGTCTGAAGGCCTCCAGCAAGGTGGACCGACGATCTGGTCAAGATCGCGGGAAGGCATTGGATGCGAGCAGCGCAGGACCGATCGTCGTGGAGATCTTTGGGGGAGGCCTATGTCCAGCAGTGGACGTCTTCCGGGCTGCGATGATGATGATACAATAAAAAACTCAATACATATACAAAAAAATTGTCGAGGAAATTGGACTGCACCGAGGAAGAAGGGGAAGAATAGTACTACTGCTTGTGGGGACTGGTCTGTTCAGTTTGCGAACACTGATTAGATTCTTTGTTTTTTGCAATAGCATATGCTGGTGGTCACTCTATTCTCCCAAATTTGAATTTAAATTAATCTGTATTATTGTAAGTATGTATAACATTTATTTAAAAAAAAAATACGAGCTGAATTTCTTGTCAGTTCTTCTCATCTCGAAATCAGTCCGAACCGACGACAGTAGATTTGACATATCATAAGTCTGTAATAGACCTACATGAATAAAGATATTTTGAATTTGAATTTATTTTACTCGATGTTGTATATATTTTTATTTATTAAAAAAAAAAACTAAATTAATTCGTAGGGTTTTTAAGTAGTGTTGTCCTGAAACCCGCAAAAACAAAAGATGTGTTGAGTCGAGTTTATTTTGTGCGCGGGCGCAGCGTCAATCATGTGAACAGGCGGTGAGCTTGTATGGCAAAGGGTTGGCGGGATTTGGACAACGGTATATCGATATTTTAAAATTTATATTATCTATACATACAAATAAATTTGGAGTGTCTGTTTGTAATATTGAAATTACCGTTTTTTACTACATGCATATGTATATAAATACGGTACATACACCAAAATAACATTTTTTACTATTTTTGTCTGTCTGGACCGATTTTGACGGGACTTATTTTGGTAGGTAGCTGATATAATAAGTAGTAACTTAGGCTACTTTTATTTTAGAAAAATAAAGTTAAATTCCACGCGGACGAAGTCGCGGGAACAACTAGTATAATATAAATATATATTACGTAGTGGATTATTGTCTATACTTTAAAATTTATACCCGGGCACACAATTGCACATCCGGTGATTTTTCTAAAACATTTATATAAAGTTTTAACATGAATAATTTTATCGCAAATAAAGTTATTTACCTCTTGACATTTCGACAGTTATTTACCTGTCTCGTAGTTTCGACTAGGTTCCACTAGCTGTGGTCACGACCTGAGTATATAGTACAACCTAGTCGAAACGTCGAACCTTTATTTGCCATAAAATTATTCGTGTTGAAGCACGTTTAACTATATTAATAATGTTTACTAATATATGGCAACGGCATGATGGAAGTTGAGAACCGTATGTGGATACTTCGAAATTATATTGTACTGCAGAATCGGTGAGTTTTGTAAAACATTTATATCAAATAAAATTTATAATAACTAATAAAACTTATAAAAATAATTGTTGTATTATTTTCAATAATGTTAAAAAATATATTCGTATATTAGAATATTTAGTTCTAGAACTATTCATTTTATTAGAATAGTGCAAACCCTAATGGGGACTCGGGGGACTTTTTAATATGTAAATATTTTTTAACAGGAAAATTATAAAGTATCGATAAAATATCTTCCCAGCACTGGCCTGTCCTACTATAGCGGTACATACGGGAGTGAGATAAGTCAGCGCATCGTTTTCAATCACATGCGATTTAACATGTCCTTTCAGGGTTGTCACTTTAATAATAATTTCAATATATATATATATATGTATATATATATATATTGAAATTATTATAATTATAACAGAATAACTTAAAATCTAAAATTAAAAATATAATATAATAATTAAAATATATTATTAAAAGGAGTCCCTTTAGGCAAGGTTCCGAAGATAATGGCAGCGTTCCCTCTTTGAATGGATAGACTAATTCTTTGGCCGAGGTAGCTGCCAGCTCTTCGGTCTTCTGTGTCTGTGTCGACTAACCTTTTTGTTATTTCCTTGAAAAGTCTTTCAGCGCTAGGACCCCACGGACCAAGGGTCTCGACACCGAATGGGACAAAATCATCTTCGTAGCCTAGACCCCTGTATTTACATGCTTTATATATTATTAAATATACATAATAAATATAAAATTGAACCCTGTCTGTACATGAGAGATATATGAAAAAACTATTATTCAAAAGGCTTTTTTAACACACTATAGTAGAACCTAAAACAACGATTGATGCAATTTTATCTGTTAGTCTGTCCGTCCAATGGCACTAATTTAATCTTTGGATTAACTGATTTGGGTGCGGTTTAAATTATTTAATAATATTACTCCTGGAGAACTCTCACAGCGCCATCTAGTCCCTAGCTAAGCAGAGCTCGTGTTATGGGCACTAGACAACTGATATAAATACTTAGATATTTATTTATTATTTTTCTAAAAACATAATGTCAATGAACACAAACATAACAAACAATTATAATTATGAATACAACCTATAGTTGAATTCAAAATAATAGTTAAATAGACTATTTTTAATATTTATGCATAGACACGGCTCGTTTTCTATTTTATTATAATAGTAATAATAATTTGTGCTTTCGATTTTCTCATAAATTTGTATTCATGAGTATGATTGTTTGTATTGATCTGGGTGTGTCCTATGTATGTATTTATGACAAAAACATATGTATGTACTTGTATCAGTTATCTAGTACCCATAACATAAACTTTAGCTAGCTTAACTTCGGACTAGATGGCACTGTGTGAATTGTCATGAGATTTTTATTATTATTATAAATTGAATTATAAAATTAATATATATATTGGTGGCAGCCCTGAGATATCAATACAGTTGGTAGCGTCCCCGGACTGCCCATGAAGGTATAAAAGTGTGTCCTTGAAGGTATCGTACCAATCGTGATACCACCTCTGAGAGAGATCATCAGGAGTCCAAGATGGGAGGCTGCGCTGAATTCATCATTTTCGTAAGTATTTGCTTATATTTTTATATATAAAAATTACGTATCAGGTTTTCCGCGATGGACTCCTAAACTACTGAACTGATTGCAAATTTGTTTTGCACATTGTGTGCAATTTGATCCAACTTGAAAGATAGGATAGCTTACATCTCAATTTATAGTCGCAATAATATTTTATTCAAGAACCTGAGACACGGCAACGCGTGGCCGGGTCTGCTAGTAAAATATATATATGTATAACACTAGCTGTACACGTAACTTCGTCTGTGTGGAATTTAACTTTATTTTCCTAAAATAAAAGTAGCCTAAGTTACTCCCTATTACATCACCTACTTGCCAATAAAAGTTCCATCAAAAACGGTCGAGCCATTTCAGAGATTAGCCGGAGCAAACAGACAGACAGACAAAAATTGTAAAAAATGTTATTTTGCTGTATGTACCGTATTTATATTCACATGCATGTAGTAAAAGACGGTTATTTCAATATTACAAACAGACACTCCAATTTTATTTATATGTATAGTTTATTAATATGGATGGATGGATAATATAATAATAATATCGTAGGACAATTCACACAGCGCCATCTAGTCCCAATTTAAGAAAAGCTTGTTTTAACACTACACAACTGATACAAATTATTATATACATTTTATTTTGTAAATACATACAAAATATAAATAGAAAACACCCAGACCTATACGAAGAATCATACTCATGAATACATGTACCGTGCGAGGAATTGAATCCGCGACCGTAGTAAATAAAGCGGTGTGCTAAACCTCTACACCACGGAGACCGTCAACTAAATCTCTAAATAAATAAGAATAGGATATGCACATTTTTGTATTTGTTTTAAGGGTGGAATAAGCAGTAATAAAGAAAATACCGATTATATTGTTTTCAGTGTTACCTCCTCATTGCGGTACATCACGTGACCTCAGCCAACGAGAAGGAGCCTCGTAAAGTGGGATTGCTGATACCTGAGAAATTAATAGGAGGCGTTATTGATATTGTGCAAAGTCACAAGCAAAAACCATCAACCACTGGACTGCCCAACCAGCAAACGTATCCGAATCAGCAGACCTATGCCCCACAGCAGGGCTACCAACCTCAATACGCTAATCAGTGGAGCCAACAAAGCAATTATCAGAACCAGTACCAAAATCAATATGGAAACTATCAACCCGGGAATGGCAATTACCAACCTGGGAATGGCAATTATCAACCTGGAAATGGCAATTACCAATCCGGGAATGGCAATTATCAACCTGGAAATGGCAATTACCAATCCGGGAATGGCAATTATCAACCATCGCCTGGCAATTACGTTCCAAACAATTACCCCGTTCCAATACAGGGTAATTATGGTAGTTCAGTCAGTCAGTCACAAAGTCAATCTCAAAACCAGTACGTGACATATCCACAGAATAATGGCAATTATGTACAGAATCAAAATCAAAATCAAGGTTATTATATACCGAGTTCCGGGCATAATCAGAATCAGCAAGTCGTCGGGCAAAATCAGCAAGTCGTCTGGCAAAATCAGCAAGTCGCCGGGCTAAACCAGCAAGTCGCCGGGCAAAACCAGCAAGTCGCCGGACAAAATCAGAATCAGTCAAGTACCCAATTCCAAGGTCAAACACAAGTGATCAACCAGGAAACTCCAGGTTCCGGCGGTATTCAAAGTGGAGGTCTTCAGGTGTCTGGTGGGCATCAGTCTGGTGGACCAGGCCCTACTTGTATATGCCAGGCGTGGACTAAACCTCATGCTAGTCCTATCAACGAGCAGGGACTGATAAAACCTGAAGATAAAAAGGATTGAAATTACTATAGTTTAATAGAAGAATTAATATTTATTTAATAAAATAGAAGTACTAAATGTCTATATTGATATTATGGAAGTTGCTATAAAAAAAGAAATAACATTTTTGAAATAAAAGTAGCCTAAGTTACTCCTTACAACGTTAGCCATCTGCGAGTGAAAGTCCTATAAATCATTAATTCTCATAAAATCTATCCAGCCGTTTTATAGATTTGCAAGAACAGACAGATAATATTTTTTTTATTAATTTTAACGTTAAATAATATTAACGCATACACTTTCATACGCATCTAGTGAAAATATGTTAATGTTAAATTACGTACAGACACTTCAATTTCATTTTTTTGTATTAATTAAAACTGTTTATACAATCGAGTATGTATAACTTAATTATTAAAAGGTTATTGTTTTAATTTTAAGTAAGATTTTTTATTTATATTATTTAAATCTTATATAAATTTTAATTTAATGAAATAAACCTTCCAACCATGAAAACGCCATAGTAGTATAGTTTTTTTAATTATTATAGAACAGAATAATAAATATTTATAAACTGATCGTGTCTTTATAGATATCAAATATTTCATAACTATCACAATAAAGAAAACATAAGGTAAAGAAATTAAGAAAGTACAAAAGGTACATTAACCTCAAATTGCAGAAAAAAACACTTGTCTGTATGTAAACTGCTTCGGTACTATATATGAAAAGATAACTTAAACTAGATGACATGTGCGATTTCTTATATACTACCGTGTGTAATAATCCACGCCTGTTATTTTGTTTCCAAGACATTTGTTGCTCGTTCTTATGACCAGGCGTTTTTATTGATAAAAACTAAAATTACCGACGACTTTATACAGAGTCGCTTACATGACCAGTGACTTGTGCAACACGGCTGTGTGTATCAGCTGACGAGTGGCATATGGCAGAGTAAAATAGGGTGTAAAAGCTGGATACTTTACTCCTCCGTGTAATGTATATGGACAAGGTTAAAGAAAGTGATGTACTGGGGCAATACATACTGGAGTCGCCCTAGCACCTGTTGGCGCTTGGGGTATGATATTTGCTGGCACGAAATGAGCAGGCGTTAAAATTGTGCTTACGTGTGGGAACACATGAGACCTTTCTACATAGAGTTGAGTGTCACTGAAAAAAAAAACAGTGATTTCGGTAGTTTTCCTGAACCATATATATATATATATATATATATATATATATATATTTAATTAATGATAAATGAAAATGATAATGGTGCACCCTTAACGTTGGCAGGGCACTAGTTAGCCTATCGTTGCAAATTTACCAGGAATTTATCATGATCGCTACCAGTGGGAACCGCGTGGAGTTCAACTTGACATGTCAGGTTGACCTCCACGCGGTTCCCCCTGGAAACCATCGAGTTAAATTGCTCTTGAATTTGTCACGATGGCCTAACTGACCTGACCTCATGCTCATCTTATCATCCTCCACTGGTACCCCGCCAGCGTAAACCGTTAGCGCAGGTGAGTACACCATTCCATATCATATTATCAGTTTAAAAAAATGGTACTAATGTGGTTATTAGTTAACATTACTAAACAATCCCATTCTCCCTCCTAACCAGTACTATTACTAAATACTTCGAAATGGCTTCACATGACGATATCACGTTCGTGATACTGTTCAATAAAACGACTGTTACCATTTACCATTTCTCGAACCGTCAGTAATAGAAATAGAAATATTTTTTATTCAAGTAAGCTCAACACAAGTACTTTTGAATGGTCATACTTTTTTAGTCTACTCGTCATTTGGAATGCAGACTCCATCACAAGAACCAGCAAGAAACTTGTGTGTTGCTCTTTTGATTACATGTTATTTTAAACAAATAAATACAAAGTAACAACTAACTCATTCTTTATGCAATCAGATAATATTATCAGTATTTTATTATTCCAATTACACGATACGAACTCATTTTATTTTATTTATTTATTATGACATATTAACAGCTGTATTTTTTTTTATAATACAGGGGACAAACGAGTATGCGGCTCACCTGATGGTAAGTGTTTACCGCCGCCCATGAGCACCCGCAACACCAGGGAAATTGCAAGTACGTTGTCGTCCTTTTAAAAAGGAATAAGCTCCTTTCTTGAAGGTTTCAATATCGTATCGGTTCGGAAATACCTGGAAGGTGATTCCATAATGTGCTTGTGCAAGGTAAAAAGTTCCTAGAAAACCGCACTGTGGAGGACCGCCATTCATCCGGATGATCAGGATGGTATTTATTACAATATTCTTTAAACACTAATTTTATATGACAATTACAACAATTACATATGGGATGTTACCTTTTACAATATACACTAATGGTAAAATATATACATACTAGCTTTTACACACGGCTTCGCTCACATAATTTCCTTACTGGCTGTTACATGGCGCTGAAGTAGCGAAATGTTGATATTTTATTTTTTGTTTTTTATAACAAATATAAATTTCATTTTAATAAAAAGTATCCTATGTTCATTTTAATACCTCTAAGAACATGTGTGCAAGATTTCATGATCATCGGTTCAGTAGTTTTTGCGTGAAAACGTAAATTATTTTTGTATATTTGTAATTTTTACTGAACAAAATATCCCAAATATGAGAGAAGTACTTTCTATGAGGAAATACGCGAACACAAGTGGAAAGGATGAGGGTATGACGTGACAGTTTTTCTAATGTATTACATCGATTTCTCTTATATTTCAAGGTCGAACTGGGCGACTTTCTATTAATTTAAAGATTTCAAGGTCATTCCACTAAACACACATTCAGTAGATGTAATTCTTTTAAAACTTTCTGTGAAAAATTATGAAATTTTTAATTAAAACATATTTAATGTATAATAATATCTCAGGAAAATTTACACGACACCATCTAGTACCAAGCTAAGCAGAGCTTGTGTTATGGGTACTACAGACAACTGAGGTAAATACATAGATTTTTTTTGTAAATACATACATATTATACAGAGATAACAACCAGACCTACAAACAATCATACTCATGAATACAAATATTTGTTCCGTGCGAGGAATCGAACCCGCGACTATCGGATAATAAAGAGATATGCTACACCACCAGTCCAGCTATAAAGTCTATAAATAATAAATTAAAAAAATTAAGTCTATGACAGATACTTAATATATTAAAATTAAAATATATTTATTTATCTATTGCAGGTATTATTATAATAATTAAATTCTAAATTAGTTTTATTATATCAACGAGGAAATAATTATAAATACATATTTAAATTAAAAATTAAAAATTATCGTGAGTGTAAAAATGTACTGATGGATTGGATAAAAACATTAAATTATAATAAAACTGAATTATTTCTGCATCATTATCATCACTGCTAAAACTGTTGTATAATCACACACACACGCACATATGTACATATATAGTCCTATAATGTGTGTATTTTAAAATTGAATTATATAAGTAATTATTGTATAATATATAATAAACTAGAAACATTTTACAAATGTTGGATATAAGCTATGGAAGAGTGGAAACTCCTGGTTACAGGCAACTTTATGTTAAAAAAGGAGACTTCAACAACTGTAGAATGTAATTGTAAAATAGTAAATAATAAAGAATATTGAATTTTTAAAAAAAAATAATTAGCAGAATGTAGTGACCATCATATGCTATTGTATTTTTGTAGAAAAGATATAATTTTAATAGCAGTTCCCACAAATAGACACTTGTATATATTTATTTAAATCACCTGCGCAAACATAAAATCAATTTTTGTTTCATACTATTAACCGACCAACTTTGACTGGCCTACAATGTTGTAATGAAGATATATATTGAAAATATATAGATACATATATCAATACATCACAATATATAGATTATCTCTTATACTAAAAACCAATTTAATAAAAACCCTCATAACTCTCTACAATTGCAATAAGAGTTACAGAAAAGTATAACATTGCAATATAAGAGAGGTCTACTACACTGGTTTGTGTAATGTAGGTCTGACACATGCGCGCGCCGCCCGCCTTACGTAATCGTTACGTAAGGGGCGACTGGGGTTGCAGGGGTAGTGCACAGGCGACGGAGGGGGCGCGGCGACGCGGGAGGGGCACGACGGGGCGAAGGCGCCGGCAATCGATTCCCATCCGCAGTCCGGCTTGGCGTTTCATCATGGCTGACAAGACGAAAGTTGCTGAACAGTACTACGCTCCGCCACCGGACCTAGGGAAATGGGAGGCCTTCAGAATATTCCTGTACAACTCCGAGACCGGCCAGGTCCTTGGCCGCACGGGATCCAGTTGGGGTGAGTTTTTTTCATACATTCCAAATTCAACGTCGCTCGCATGACAAAGGATCGTTGCCAATTTTGGAGGGAAATCGATGACGTCACTTGACATGTAATTTATTTTTAATCTATGAAAAGTAGTTCGCGTTAATTAAAAAATAAAATGACGCGCAGGACAAAGACATTATACGGTTATGGGTATAAGTGGAACGATTATTACGTAACATCGTATTTTAAAAATGCATACTCTGTGATTGAAAATGGCGGTTTTTATATTCGATACCTAGAATCTACATACACATTAACAGTATGAAAATTGTAATATACAAATCAACAATTATTTAATACATTAATCATATAAATTAATGGCATATAAAAGCAAAAGGTATCCATTTATGTTACCTTAGAACAGAAAAAATAAAAAATCAATTGAAGAAACCGACTATCAAATTAAACTAAATACATTTTTAAATGCAGTGGTTTTTGACTGGTTTATTTATATTGAAAATTTAATAGACTGGTTTCATATGTACATACATATATGTATATGTAACTATGAGTTGTGGATTGCACATGCGCTGTACGAAATGACACTAAGTACTAAGATCACTACTTAAGTCGCCAAATTAGCATCATTTTGCTATACATTACGTACATTTTGAATGCCTCGGTGGTCTAGCGGTTAACCACACCGCTTTACTTCCGATGGTTGCGGGTTCGATTCCTCGCACGGTGCTAACATTTATATTCCTGAGTAAGTGATTGTTTTATCGGTCTGGGTGTTTCCTATATATATTATATATGTATTTTAAAAAATCTAAATATTAAAATTCAAATTATCTTTATTCATGTAGGTCTATTACAGACTCTTATGATATGTCAAATCTACCGTCAGTTCGGAATGATTTCGAGATGAGAAGAACTGACAAGATTTATATCAGTTGTCTAGTACCTACAACACAAGCTCTGCTACCCGTGGGACTAGATGGCGCTGTGTTAATTGTCCAGGGTTATGTATATTATATATGTAATTACAAAAAAAAGTATCTAAGTATTTATATCAGTTGTCTAGTACCCACAACACAAGCTCTGCTTACCGTGGGACTAGATGGCACTGTGTTAATTGTCCAGGGATATTAGAAACAAAATGACATATGTCTTAAAATAACTAATTACAATGTTTGTATAGTTTTTTCATACAAATTACAGTAGTAATGACTCTGTTATGTCATACTGTTATATATTATGTATGTGGTTATTGTAACACTGTCCTGTGGGTGTACTCATTCATTGGTCACATTATTCACAATCATTTACGTTAATAACATCTGCTTGTATTTGAATCACATTTATTTAAAGCTAGCTGCCCCACGCGACTTCGTCTGCATCACACTTATTATTATATATCGCCCAATTTATATAATATATTTTTAAATTACATATATGATATTTTACCCCCTTAAGGGTAAAATTTTTACAAACTTTGAATGTCATATTTATTCATATTTAATCAACAGCCTCAAAAATGATTCAATCTTTTAGCTTCAAAAATGACGATTCTTCCATACAATCTTTCATCCGCACTTTCAACCCCTCACAACCCTTTTTTCGCATTCAAAAGTAGCTTATGTCCTTTCTCAGGGTCCAGACTACCTGTGTATTTGATACATATACATTTATTTCATTTAAATCGGTTCAGTAGTTTTGACGTGAAAGCGAGACAGACAGACAGACAGAGTTACTTTCGCATTTATAATATTAGTAAGGAGTAAGGATAGCAACCCGCATGTTCGCACTTTCTTAGATTAAAAAAAATCGGAAGATTAAAAAAATGTGACTATTCAATAGTGCTTCAATGTAAGTTTATTTGAATAAATGATTTTCTATGCTTTCTATTCTATTCTATTCTTATTGTGATGAGTCTGCTTTCTGAATGGGCGGTAGAATGAAATAAATAATATGACTATTTAAATCTATACAAATAAATAAACTTGGAGTGTCTGTTTGTAATATTGAAATAACCGTTTTTTACTACATATATGCATATGATTATAATTACGGTACATACACCAAAATATTTTTTTTTACAATTTTTGTCTGTCTGTCTGTTTGTTCCGCCTAATCTCTGAAATGGCTGGACCGATTTCGACGGGACTTTTATTGGCAGGTAGCTGATGTCATAAGGAGTAACTTAGGCTACTTTTATTTTAGAAAAATAAAGTTAAATTCCACACGGACGAAGTCCCGGGTACAGCTAGTATGTTATATTAAGTTAATTTGAATAAAGATTATTTCTATTTCTCTATTTTTATGATATCGACATTTGTAAAACGCCATCTATTGATTATAATGACAGGACATCAAAATAGAGTCTATTATTTTAATAATAAATAAATTTCATTAAAATATTCATAGTTAATAAAAATGTTCAAAAATTAGTGCTGGTTGGTAGTTTGTATTCACACGTTTCGACTTGTAAATGTAAACTTACAAGGATTATTTAAAGAGCAACACACAACTTTCTCGCTCGTTCTTCTTGTGATGAGACAGCTTTCGGAACAAGTGGTCGATAAAAAACAAATTGTTATGGCTATTCAATAGTGCTTAAATTAAGTTTATTTGAATAAATGATTTTCTATTCTATTCATAAAATTAATTATAATAGGTCATTTAGGCATCTTTATTTATACATGGTGATTCATATTTGATAATATATTTCAATATCCGTTTTAGTAGTTTCAACACAGTTTCGCCTCGACACTAGTAAAAAAGTAGAGTTACAAGAGTTAAGTCATAACTGTATAAAACACAGGACGATTCACACAGCGCCATCTAGTCTCACGCTAAGCAGAGCTTGTGTTATGTGTACTAGGCAACTAACAGATATACTTAGTTACATTTTTTTGTTGTAAATAAATAATATATACAGGAAACGCTAAGACCAATACAAACAATCATATCAGGAATCGAACCTGCCATCCGAAGTAAGGCAGTGCGTGAAGTATACCGCTAGACCACCGAGGCCGTCAGATATAAAAGATAAAAAGGCGTTTCATGAAGTCTCCCTGTTACTTGTTTAGTATACTTTATGACTATAGAGGTAGAGTTCAAAGTCGTCTGCGTGGGTTTACTTTCACACCTATTTCCGCCGTAAAACAGCTTGCTCTGTAAGCTGTTTCCTTTAGATGCAGGCATAATACCTTAGTACTCTGGAATGGCAACTCATGAGTGTACGGGTCAATTGATGACGTCATGTTTATGCTACTGTTTTTATACCACGTAGGTGGTGAACCAGCATACGGCCCATCTGATAGTAAATGGTTACCATAGCCTAAGGACGCCTGAAACACCAGGGTTGTCGCGTGCGCGTTGCCGACTCAAAAGTCTACTGTTCATCTATATAGACGACTGTTACCATTTACAGATAGATTGTCAGTTTTCTTACCTTCTAGATACAAGGCAGGGTATGACTTTTATACCTGTCTTTTTTATATAGGAAAGTATGAAAACGGACTTACATACCTGTTTTATTTATCTAGGAAGGTATAGAGTAGAGTTATTTTTTTTTCGAACTATTCTAATGCTGGCCGCAGCTGGCCTTTACAGGTTCATCGGACGATAGGGGGTTAGTGCAGATGACATTCCAAACCAAAGGAAGGACTTATGAAGTGGCTGAAGTCTAACTCTAGTCTGAGGGTTACAACTTTAGTATAACACCGCCAGGGGTTCGAATCTCTGCTCAGGCCGTCGTAACGTCAATCCCCATTTGATTTGGATGGGGTCGATTGGAGGGGCGATATACAGTCCATTTTAAAACGTTATCTATAGTATAAAAGATTCCAGAATTGAGTAGTGGAGTGTAATAAGGAAATGCATATTGAAATTCAAATCAAAATATCTTTATTCATGTAGGTCTATTACAGACTCTTATGACATGTCAAATCTACCGTCAGTTCGGAATGATATCGAGATGATAAGAACTGACAAGAAACTCAGTTCGTATTCTTTTTAAATAAATGTGGTACATGTTTACAATTATACAGATTATTTGGGAGAATAGAGTGACCACCATATGCTATGCAAAAGCAAAAGTGTAATCAGTGTTCGTAACCTGAACAGATACATCACGAAAGAATATGCATTATGTATGAAATCACCAAATAGGGAGCCACTTAGCTTGAACACGATATTGGGGTAGGATATTATGTAAACCCAAATTTAATATTACAAAGAGGTTTTTGCAGTCGCTGAAATATTTTGAATATTGTCAGCGTGGAAGTAATTTATAGAAGATAGAATTATTTTTATTTGATAGCCTCGGCGTAAGATGTTTCAGTTAGATTAGCATATCGCTTTACTTCCGAAGGCCGTGGGTTTGAATCCTTGCGAGATTAAAACACTTGATTCATGGGTTTGATTGTTTGTATTAAATATATGAGTGTTTTCTATATATAATAATAATAATAATAATCTCAGGACAATTCACACAGCGCCATCTAGTCCCAAGTTAAGCTATCTAAAGCTTGTGTTACGGGTACTAGATATCTGATACAAGTGCATATATAATTTTTTTTTTGTAAATACATACATATTATATATAGAAAGCACCAAGACCGATACAAACAATCATACTCATGAATACAAATGTTTGTGCCGTGCGAGGAATCGAACCCGCCACCATCGGTCGTAAAGCGGTGTGCTAGACCGCTAGACCACCGAGGTCGTCATATATATTATGTATGTATTTAAAAAAAAATGTTTTTAAGTATTTCTATCAATGGTCTAGTACCCATAACACAAGCTCTGTATAAATAATGGTCCTGAGTAGTTTATGTAAAAAAAATATATTAAAAAAAAACCAGACTTACATATAACCTTACTAACATCATAAACGAGAAATTTTGTGAGTGTGTATGTATGGATGGATGTTTGTTACTCTTTCATGCAAAAACTACTAAATGGATTTTAATAAAACTTTACAATAATACTAATAATAATAATAGCTTATACATCAGAATAACATATCGTTACATAGTATAAAACAACCGCTGTCTGTACGCTTATATATGTTAAATTACGCAACGGATTTTAATGCAGTTTTCAGTAATACATAGAGTGATTCAAGAGGAAGTATGTATATTAAAGTAATGTATATTATATGCGTGTTATAGTATATAACTAGCCGAGAAATTCAAAGATTAGTAATGCATCCGTGTGAAGCCGTTCGGGTGGGCTAGTGGGCTATAAATTTCGCGGGTGACAGTTTCATGGGAGTGAAACTACAGGTACAGCTAGTAAATATATCATATTCTATGATATTCTGGCTCCTACAGTAAATATATATTATAGGAACGAACAGAATATCAGCGCTGCAGACTTATCTGTAGCTTCATGCTGAGTTTGTTGCCTGTTGTTGTTGTTTGTTGCCTCTTCCTCATTGCGATCCATAAAGCCACCTCCATTTTTTTATTTGTAAACTTTATTTCTATTTATAAAATATATCTCATGCTATAAATAAACGATATATCTATCTATCTATCTATCTATGTATAATTGTTGAATAAAGCATTTATCTATCTATCTAAATGTTAATTATGACAAAGTCTTGTGGTCAAGTGGTCGCCGCCTTTGCTCAGCGGTGCCGGTGGGGCAGAGCACGCGGTGAGATGCGCGCGCCGCGCGGCGTCCTTCGTGACATCGATCCAAGGACGACTGGATTGTGATTTCTGTACCAGAGATATCACAAAATATAGTTTACTATCTGTGCTTATGGTTTCAATTAAATGCAATTTTAGAAAACTTAATCTATACACATAAATAAAATTAGAGTGTCAGTTTGTAATATTGAAATAACCGTTTTTTACTACATGCATATGAATTTTCATGTTTTTAGAATTTTTGTCTATCTGTCTGTCTGTCTGTTCCGGCTAATCTCTGAAACGGCTGAACCGATTTTGACGGAACTTTTATTGGCAGGTAGCTGATGTAATAAGGAGTAACTTAGGCAACATTTACTTTAGAAAAAATCCTTAATTTTAGAAAAATAAACGTAAATTACACGCGGACGAAGTCGCGGACATAGCTAGTTCATAATATACCCTACTTATTGTAGTAATTCACAGTGAGGCAGAAAATGATAGTAATAGGACAGTAATTAGTGGACAAGCGCGAACTGTAGCTTGTTATCGACCGATTGTCACATATTACTCGTATTTAGGCCAATGCAGCTGACTACGCTCATTGTTGTTTCATTCAATCAGAGAAGAAATACATTCTACATCATCTCTACATATTATAAAACAAAGTCGCTGTCGCTATCTGTCCGTCCATATGTATGCTTAAATCTTTAAAACTACGCAACGGATTTTGAAGCGGTTTTTTTAATTGGTAGAGTGATTCAAGAGGAAGGTTTATATATAGAATACATATACACCTGTGCAAAGACGGGGCGAGTAGCTAGTGTTTTGTATAATATAAAAAAATTTATATGTAGCGATCCACTCTGGTTGCAATATTATAAAAAATTATATTTTTTTAAATAATACACACATTTCAATCTCAGAAGAGATATATTTTATATATTATAGCCATCTAGTTTTGGTATAATATTAAAAAATATATTTTTAAGTCTCGATGGTTTACCGGTTTAGCACACCTATCTTTGATGGTCGAGGGTTCGATTCCTCACAGGGTACAAACATTGTGTTCATGAGTAAGATTGCTTGTATCGGCCTGGGTGTTTTCTTTGTATATTAACATATAAAAATACATTTATAAAAAATGTATTTACATAAGTATATCTAACAGTATTGAGAATATCCTTCAATTCTTGTCCCTGACAGGTTTGGGTAGCAAACTCTGTAAAAGGAGGGCACAATAGATCTATGTAGGTCGCAGTTTTTTGTTTAGTATCTACAGGTCCAAGCATATGACAATTGCCTAATTTTTTTGTATATCGAACAGTTGTCAGCTTGTGTTATAACTAGCTATAACACAAGCTCCGCTTAGCTTGGGACTAGATGGCGCTATGTGACAATTGTCCTGAGATATTATTATAAAAGTCACAATAAATAAATGTTTAAATTGATTTCATTGACTGAATTTCAGCAAATCAGTAAACAATATGAATTAGATGATACTATATCTTTTCAATTGGTCTGAATACGGTGTAGGTTGCTGAAACGCGGTCAGTGGTCGGCCGGCAATTTGGTAGGAAACTCCTATTGACGCCACTTGTACCAATTATTGTCTCAATACTATTTGTATTGAATGCGAATTAATAGGAAGTTAAAGGTTTCATAAGTTGGCCACAGTCAGTGCCTCAATTCATTGGACTTCGAAACTTCTAGATCACATCTAGATTCTTTATCAAGATTTTTTTATTGATAATGGAATGATGCGCTAACGGTTTACGCTGGCGAGGCACCAGTGGAGGATAAGATGAGCATGAGGTCAGATCAGTTAGCCCATTGTGGTAAATTCACCAGGAATTTATCACGATGGTTTCTAGGGGGAACCGCATGGAGGTCAATTGACATGGTACTTTTTTTATTTGATGGATGATAATGGAATAGTGCACCCGCCTGTTGTAACGGTATACGCTGGCCAGGCACCAGTGGAGGATAAGATCAGCATGAGGTCAGGTCAATTAGTTCATCGTGACAAGTTTACCAAGAATTTATTACGATGAGCGTTTTTACAATTCATCAAAAATATGCTTAGATTAGAGCAGACCAGTACCTAAAAGATAACTATGAATGAAAGAGTAAAACGGATAATACAACCAGAACTGCGTTCAACCATATTTTGTGAGAGCCCAATAACTCAAATAAGCATATGTCCCGTGTATTTATGAATTGTACTTACCTGTGTAAGATATCTAGTCACACAATATGTACTGCATTATATTCGATGGGAATCTACCACAATAGAATAGAATAGAAAATCATTTATTCAAATAAACTTACATCTATGTAAGTTTATTTGAATAAATGATTTTCTAGCACTTTTGAATTGTCATTATATTTTTTTAATCTACCGCTCATTCGGAAAGCTGTCTCATCCCAAGAAGAACGAGCAAGAAACTTGCGTGTTGCTCTTTTAAATAATTTTACATTTTTAAGTTTAAGTGTGTGAATACAGTGTAATAATATCATGATTATGTTTGTTCACAGCTAAAATCTTGCTATTCTACCTAATCTTCTATGCGGCTCTGGTGGGCTTCTTCGCGGCCATGCTGGCCATCTTCTACCAGACCCTGGATTCGAAGATGCCCAAGTGGCAACTCGATGGCTCCATCATAGGAAGTAATCCAGGTAAGAAATTGGATATTGGAAGAAAGAAAGTGTATGAAAGTCACGATGAGGAAAGGAAAATTAATTCTAGATAAGATACTTTGTTATTTAATATTAGGTCCGAAGACTAGACGGAACTTATTACTGGTGTTGATATCACTGATCAGTTAATAATATACTTTGATATAGTGTTTTCGTTGAACTTATGAAAACTGGGGTCTAAATCAGAGTAGTAACCTAGTAACTAGGCCCTGATGCTGCTCGACATGATGCCTACGACTACCTTTTACAATTGCACAGCTTGCCATCGACAGAAAATTTAAATCCACATGCTGGAACTAAAGTGGTTTCGGACAGTGCGGTTTCAGAGAAGCTTCCTCTTGCGTACTCTTAGATTTTGAATGGTCTTCCTGCCGAGGATTTCTCTACAGAGTACAGCATGAGGTTTTTCAAGAAGTGTATATTAAGGTTTTTTTTAAGGGTTGGCGCTCTTGACATCTCTGTTATTTTAGGCGGGTCAGCAACACGCAAGATGTCAACCCTCTGGTGTTTCATATTCATAGACTACCTTAATGGCATATATACCACGAGTGACAATTGATTGCCACAAAAGTAGGACCAATAATTTATAGTTAACTATTTCTGTGTTTTGACTTTCCAATCCAGGTTTGGGCTTTAGACCCATGCCGGACTCTGCTAACGTGGAGAGTACCCTCATCTACTACAAGGCCAATGATAAGGGCTCCGTGCTCAAATGGGCCAAGGTGATCGACGAGTTCCTTGAACGTGAGTATTGTATGCCAAGGTGACTAGTAAGATAACTTAAGTCTGAGGTTTTACGCATAATTACTTATTGTAGTTAATTGCCACTCAGACAGAACTGTAATGACAGATTGTTATGTTAATTGTCTAATATATTACAGGTATGTTTATTACATATACTGAAGAGTTATATATATTGATATTTAAAGTAATACCCATGAAAAAATAAGTGTTACAAGATCAAAACATTTACAAGAATTGAGAATAAAAATAGGATAAAACCCCATATATTTAGGAATACAGGATAAATACTAGGAGTACGAAGATTTATTTGAAGAATTGTTGAGAACTGAAGTAAAACATGAAATTATACAGGAACAGCAATATAAACTGAATTACAATTTTTAGAATAGAAATAATCTTTATTCAAATATACTTAATATAAGCACTTTTGAATAGTCAATTTTTTTTTATTCTACCACTCATTCGGAATTAAACATCACAAGAAAAATGAGCATTAAAGGAGTAACACGCTAGTTGCGTAATGATTTTTTAAATATATTTTGTTATAAGTGAATACATGTAGAACAATAAACAAGGATTAGGCATGCGACAATCAACATAAAAACCGCTACGCACTCAATCTTTATACAATCAGATATGATAAATATGAAGACATATTTGATTAGCCCGTTACAATAAATGTAATATTAAAATATCTTCATAGAGTATCGCAAGAAGGGAAGTGGCAGCGGAGAAGCTAGCGGCGCTGAGAACCGAGTACCATGCTCTCCAACATCGGGCGCCACTGGTGAGAAGCAAGTGTGCGATGTGCCAATAGACGAGTTCCATCCCTGCACTGCTGCTAATCAGTACAACTACGAGGCAGCCGGCCCCTGTGTCTTCTTGAAGCTGAATAAGGTTAGAATCAAAACTGACGGTAGACTTGACATGTGAGAAGAGTCTGTAATAAATTTATTCGTACGTTAATAAAGAAAAAACAAGCTTTGACGACCTTGGTGGTTATTTTTGTAAATGTTATTGATATTATAAACGTGAAAGTTTGTGAGTATGGATGGATGTTTGTTACTCTATCACGCAAAAGCTTATACATCAGAATAACATAAATATAATATTCACGCGGGTATAATACAAATTCAAATTCAAATTCAAAAATCATTTATACATGTAGGACATTTTAGCCGTCACATACATAGTATATAAAAAACACACACTTATAATACATTGAAAACAACCAGACCGATACAATCATACTCAATGTTTGCACTATGCGAGGAATCGAATCTGGTACCTACAGAAGTAAGGGATTGTGCTAAACCGATCATCGAAACAGTCTATATTGAACTAAACCTACTATAAGGACTTTCAAATAGTCATAGGACAGTCAAAAAACGTAAGTAAGTTAAGACTACAATGGGTTGATAATGAAAAGTTGGTTTTACTACACTCAAAGTAACGTAATCTATACATATAAATAAAATTAGAGTATCTGTTTGTAATATTGAAATAACCGTTTTTTACTACATGCATATGAATATAAATACGGTGCATACACCAAAATAACATTTTTTACTATTTTTTTCTGGCTAATGACTCTTTGAAATGGCTGGACTAAATTTGACGGAACTTTTTTGGCAGGTAGCTGATGTAATAAGGAGTAACTTAGGCTACTTTTATTTTAGAAAAATAAAGTTAAATTCCACGCGGTCGTAGTCGCGGGCACAGCTAGTTTTGAAATAAAATGTATTGCCCAACATCCTTTTCATAGTGGTAATCGAATAGACAAACATTCCTGTTATGAAAGGAGACACCTGGCCAGCAATAGGACGTAAGGGATAATGAAATATAAAATAAGAGAAGTGGACATACGTACGTTTTATTCAGTACTCGTTCTAACTTTATTCATTTGGGTGAGGGGTGAGAGGACCTTGGTTCACCCCTCGTCCAAGCACAATTATATTAACACACTAAACGATTGAAATGTTGCCGTAAATATTTATATTCCGTTCTACTCAAATATTTATGCTATGCTTTACTTGGCGTACTCTATCATTACAGTAAATATAAAACATTACTTTTCGTTATTTTGAAAATTAATTATTAATCAAATGTCTTGTAGATTTTTACAAATTTTTATACTGTCTTGGACTGTTCATGTGAAAGTTTAGTTCTTTCTATAGATAGATAGATAGATTTTTTAGTGAAAATTGAGTTTTTCACTTATTTTATAAACCATACTTGTTTAAGGAACTAATAAAAAACAATTTTTTTTAGGAAATTTGACGAGTGAATATTTTATATTAGTTGGGTAATCCTGTGGAGAAAAAGTCATAGTGTTATCGTTTAATTATTGTAGTAAAGTTTCACGGCTTTATATGGAGAGGGTTAGGCAAGGCGACATGCAGTATTAATAACATTCTCTTTATGTTTCAGATCTTCAATTGGCAGCCTAAACCATACAATACCACTGAAGATCTCCCCGGTAACATGCCTGAAGATTTGAAATCGCACATCAAGATGGCGGTATGCGTTTAGTTTTCACCCAGTACCATTTACAACAGAATAAAAAAATGCAATAAATAGTCCCTAGTTTTAATATTTTTTTTACTTGGCAACACAAGATAGGAGGAGGGGGAAGGATCTGTGAGGAATGTGGACGACCCTATTGGTAGCAATGCATCATGTCGGGTTTATCATTATCACGTCCACGAGGTTCTCCCTGTAAACCATCGTGATAAATTCTTGGGGATTTCGTCACAATGGTCTAAGTGACCTGACTTCTTGTTCATCTCATTAGTTCTCCACCGGTGCCTCACCAGCGTAAACCATTGCCGCAGGCTGGTGACCCATTCCATTAAAAAAGTACATCTCAGCTGAGGTGATGCTGTGATGTTGATGTACATAGGTGTTGGTTGCGATTTTACATTACCTGTTTCATTATTCTAGTTATAAAAAAAATAGGGAAAATAAAGTTAATATTTTCTTTCGAAACTAAGCAAATACTTTTTCGTGCAGTCGGGCAAGCCAGAAGCAAATACGGTTTGGGTATCATGCGAGGGTGAGAATCCAGCAGACGTTGAGAACATCGGCCCAGTGCAGTACATCCCGCGACGGGGCTTCCCCTCTTACTATTACCCCTTCACCAACAAGGAGGGGTATCTGAGTCCTCTGGTTGCTGTGCTCTTCGAGAAGCCCAGGAGTACGTATATTCATATCTATTTTAAAATCTCGAAATCAAATAAAATCATCGAAGTAGACTTGTCAAAGAATCAGAGCCTCTTAGATCTAATCAAACTTATTTGATATACAATTTTAAAATATATAAAATACTATTTAGATCTAACTAAA